TCGTTCTCTCTCTTTTCCTCTCTGAAATCAATAAAAACACATTTTTAAAAAAGGACCTGCTGGGTCTCCTGGGGTGGAGCCTGGGCCCTGGCTGGGGACCAGCTGGCTCTTGGCCACTGGGCTGAGATAACTGGGGGCTGCTGAGGTAGGCTTGGCTGCAAAGCCAACAAAAGGGCCTCCTTACTCCACCCTGGGGCTGGTGAATCCCCAGGACTTTGGGGGGGGGGGTGTATGTGTTGCCAATATCATCATGACACAGCAAGAATCTTATCGGCCCAAGGGGAAGGCAGTCCAGAAAAATTCCGAGGAAAGGGAGGTGCCGGGTTGTCAGGTCATCCTTTGTACCCGTCACTGGGATGGGTCCTGAGCACCCATTGAGCCCATGGCCTCTGTGGTCCAGGTGGGGAGACTGAGGCCCAGAGAGACGAGGCGCTGAGAACCAGGCAGTAAGCCAATCCTGTCCAAGTCAATTCCCAGTCTTATCTCTTTCTCTTACTCCCATTCCTCTCTATATCCCTGGAGGGAAGAGTCACTCCAGGCTGGCCGAGGTTCTACCAGATGGGGAAGGAAAGGATCTGCTGGGCCCAAGATTCTTCCCCACATGCTTGTCTGTAAAGAAAAACTGGTTTCTTTCTTAAAAAATTTCTTTTTATTATTGATTTCCGAGAGGAAGGGAGAGGGAGAGAGAAACATCAATGATAAGAGAGAATCATTGATCGGCTGCCTCCTGCACGCCCCCTTCTGGGGATTGAGCCCACAACCCAGGCATATGCCCTGACCAGGAATGGAACCGTGACCTCCTGGTTTATAGGTCAACACTCAACCACTGAGCCACACTGGCCAGGCAGAAACTGGTTTCTTTTATCCCAAAGTTTTCTGGACTGGGACAGTAAGTACCTACAAGCTCTTCCTACTTGGGGTGGGAATCCTGAGACGGGGGGAAGTGGCTACACAGAAGGGGGAACAGACAGCAGCTTCAAGCCCATTGGGTAACCCCATGAGCCAGCATTATAATGCTCCCGGAAGGAAGCTGGGTGTGTGGCAAGGGTTGGGTAAGCGGGTGGGGGAGGAGGAAGGGGCAAAGGGCTGCCCCGAGGGGCCCACCAGTCACTGGGGGTTCTGTGTTTGCTCTTCCCTTTGCATGGAATGCTCCTCAGCCCTGGCTCCGCAGGCCCCTCCTTTGAGATCTGGCTGCTGAGGGATGGGGTAGGTGACACAAGGGCCTGCTTGTGTCTTCTATCACATGCGCCACTCTGAATTCTTATTGGGCTGCTAACTCACCTTGGGTCCCGGGCCCCCAGCACACAGGTCCCAGGGGGAGGGCGGGGCCTGTCTCTGAGCTGCAAGGAGGCACTTGATCGCCATTTGTTGGATGAATGAACAGAAAACTCACTGGTTTCCCACAGTACCACCCTACCTACCTCCTACATGGAAGGAGCAGGCACGGGAGGCCTGACTCTGGGAGCTGTTCTAAGTGCTGAGTGTGGGAGGCTGGCCCACTCAACTCCAGCCCCTCTAACAGGAGGTGGAGAAATGAACAGGAGCCCTTCTCTGGAGGACAGACACCCTGTGCTCCCCCACTCCACCTGCTGGAGTGGCACTTCCCATTTCTGCTCTGGAGGCTTCTGGTTGTCACTCTCAGGCAGAGGAGAGCAAAGGGGAACCCTACCAATTGCAAAGAAACAAAGTTGCCCAACCCCAAGCTGGTCACAGGTGAAAGCAGTGAGGAGTCACAGAATCAGCTCGGCGAGTCCAAGGACCCCTGGCATTTGCTTCAAAAACTCTCATTTGCGCCCAGCCAGTGTGACTCAGTGGTTGAATGTTGACCTATGAACCAGGAGGTCACGGCTCAATTCCCCATCAGGGCACATGCTCAGGCTGTGGGAGGCAACCAATCAATGATTCTCTCTCATCATGGATGTTTCTCTCTCTCTCTCCCTCTCTGAAATCAATAAAAAGATATGAAAAAAAAAAGCCCTCATTTACTATGTGGAAAAACAGGTTCAGAGAAGGAGAGACACACAGCAAGCTTGGATGCTCTCAATGAAACATCTAAAATGTGAGGGCCTGGAGCTATAAGCCATTTATTGTGGCCTGGGATGCTCTGTTGGAGCATCCTGGGACAGGCTGGTATGGGGATAAGGGAAAGGAGGAGACATAATCCTGAGTTACTTTCCCTTCCAAACTATTTCCTGGACAAAGGGCCAAAGGGTCAGAGTCCTAGGCCTTAAAGTTGGCGGCTCCTCTAAGGGGGCCAGGCTTGGGCCAAGGGTGGAGGCCAAGCCTTCTTCCCTGTGTTCCTCCTGTGCATTCCCCCGACTTGGGCTTATGGGGAGGCAGAGGATGGTGCTTAAGGGGGACCTTCCTACCCTCCACCAGCAGACCCTCCTCCCCGGCTTTGCCTCCAGCCCTGCATTCTGGCTCTCCTTTTCCAAGTTGTGAGCAGAATCACCAAGTTGGCAGGGAGTAGGCTCTGCGAAGGGCAGCAGCACGCTATGCTACATGAACAAAGAACCAAGGTCCTCCAGAGCTGAGGGGACCATGATGTGAAAGGCGCAGGGAGACAATGCCTACGCTGTCAAGAGCTAACTAGTTTTGGTAGAATTCTTTTTTTGTTTGTTTGTTAATCCTCACCCGAGGATATTTTTCCATTGATTTCTAGAGAGAGTAGAAGGGATGGAGAAGAGAGAGAGCAGAAGGGAAGGGAGAGAGAGAAAACACCAATGTGAGAGACACACATTGATTGGTTGCCTCCAGCACGCACCCTAACCAGGGCTGGGGTTCGAGCCTGCAACTGAGGTATGTGCTCTTGACTGGAAATTGAATCCATGACCCTTCAGTCGTCAGGCCAACACTCTAACCACTGGCCAGGACTTTTGGTAGAATTCTGGCTCAAGATTATACAATGAGTTACAAGCAAAAATGGTCATGCGCTGCTTAGTAGATTCTTGGTCACGAGTAGGGTTAAAATGAAGAGGCCACTTTGACTTCCAGATGAAGCTCTGGCAGCTCATCTCACCAGCCCATGGACACATCTTGCCACCCGGCAGATCTCCCTTCTGCACCTCACACGGGGGGGGGGGGTTAGGGGGGGAGTCATGGTCTTTCCTTTCAGAACAAAATGATGGTGCCACTGGCTAGGCAATGGGGCTCTTCAGCAGGCTTTGGAAGCTGAGGCAAGGAGACAACATTCAAAGAAAGGATGAGTGTTTGTCCCCAGGGAACTTGACTTGGTAGTGAGAGACAAAGGTGCAGATAGGACCTCAGATCCTGCCTCTGGAATTAACTGACTGTGACATTTGTCAAGTCACAAACAGGTTTGAAAAAGACAGGAGTGGCATGAATAGCCTCCCCTGTTTGCACCTCACTTTTCCCCAGGGAGGAGGAAGCCCAATCAGACCGTCCCTAAGGACCTCCCAGCTCTAGGACACAGGTCTACAGTCAAGGTCTACAGTCAAGGGCTGTGCAGAGATTTCAGATACGCCTGGAAGTGAGTGTATTCCAGGTGGGGCTGGGGTGATAATGGCACAGAGGCAGGAACAAGAGGGAGAGCCCAAGTGGCCCCCCAACAATCAGGTGGGAAAGCTCCGGCACTCAGCAGGAAAGGATCTTAAGCAATATCGCGCTCTAACTTTGGATTTTCAGAGGCAGGGCCTAGGGGAGACTCACCGATGCCCCCATGATGATGAAGACATGTGTTTCGGACTGATGGAAGGCATCACCCTGGTACAGCTCTTCCCGCAGGATCCCACACACCTGGGTCCGGCTCAGGTCCACCTGCTCTGCCATGATGCTCTCTGCTGAGAGAAAGACTTGTTGGCAAGGCAGGAGAGCAGAAAAGCTTTGAGAAGTTGGTCCCTCTCTTAAGGGGTCTTTTGGGCTCTCACCCAGCTGAGGTCTAATGATTGAAACCACTCGCTGTGAATGGCGGGGGCAGGAGCAGGATGGGCGGGGGTTTAGAAACTTCTGGCTGTGGGTTCTGGCCATACTCCCCAGAGCAGCCTTCTTTCACAGTGTACGTTATAAAGTTACACAAAGCACCAGTGGATTCCAACTGGAGCCTCAATGCTGGGGAGTGAGCAAAACTCTGCTGGAGCATCTCACCCAGGAAACCAGGTGGAAACTCCCCAATGAGCTGGATGGAGCATGTGAGACCCTGCAGCTCCAGCCGTCTTCCGGCCAAGCTGGGAGACTCCGGCAAGTCCCTGTCCCTCTCAGGGTCTCAGTCTCCTGAGGGGTCCAATGGGGACGATTGGATGTGAGACCCTTTGATTTTGCCCGGCTACCCAGCGCGGCACATCGGAGGGCCTCGCGGCGCAGCACGCGCCTTGGACAGCGTGACACTCACCCGCTTCGTTACCTGTGCCTCGTTGCCGCCGCCCGTCGCGCTCGCAGCCCTGGAGTTCCTGGCAGTTTCCGG